TTGAGGTGCCTGTTGTTGCGATTTGGTGCTATATTAAAAAAAGCCTGAAATTCAAATTGAACACAAAGGAGAGAAACAATCATATATTTACCAAAGGTCCAGAAGGCCCAGGCAAGCCGACATGACCTCTAGGTCCAGGTTCCCCCTAGAAGAAGAATATTAGAAAAGAAAGGCACACATTACAAGAACATGAAAACCTGTTATGCTCATTTCCACATCATTTTTATTCATGGACTCTATTAGAGAAAATGTACACGATTCACAGTCCAACATAGAGCGGGGGGGTTAAATCTTCTTAGTTCATCCAGAGTCTGAAACAAGTTGTTGTAGTTCCCCTCCCTTTACGCATATCTCAGACAAAAGATGTGTGTCTAAAATGGCAATGTTAGCAATATCCACTCTCACTGTCATATGGAGACGAGTGTGGAAGCACTGTCTGGAAACTTGGTGTTAAGAGGAGTCTGAAGCCTAAACTTTGGCTCACAGGGAATTCATGTACATACCCCGGGCTGCATTATCTGAAACTTGCAGTATGAAAATGTAGAAGGCATACCTTTGCTGCAGGTCCACCTTTAGCTCCTGGGCTGCCGGGTAACCCCTGAAGATGGAATAAACAATGCTGAAAACAGTCCTAATCAAAGCTACATATCTGCACATCAGACACGTTTCAGGAAAGCAAGCGTGAAATGCACATGGCTACGTAGGCGTCGGCAGTTGGCGGTAATAATGCAGTTTGATATAATGATAATGATAAAAATAGGCTTGTGGTGTGATTGCCACAGTTGTAGACCTTGCAGTGATTTTATGTGTGTGTGTGTGTGGTTGTTGTATCACAGTTTGACATAAAGCAGGCTAAGTTGCAGTGTATGAGTTTTAGGGAGTGTTAGTGTCACTGCAGTGACCGCGCAGCATCTCATGCAGTGCACATCTCATGCTCCATTACCCGTTAGTCAGAACGACGCGCGCACAAACACACACTTATGTCTACCCACTGGTCTGATTGTGATAAATTGCTTGCGGTTGAAGAGAGAATGCTATTTTCAAGGTGCTTTTTATTCTAAAGCAGCATGGGTCACGGGGTCACTGTTAACCTGGATGACTGCCCAGAAAACAAAACACGCCGAAATTTTACACACCGCTTCAAGCTGGTTTCCCTTGTCTGTGTTCTGGCTTTGTTGAATTCAAGAGAAGAACAGATTGCCCTTCTACGTGGTCTGAGTGACAATGATTGTTTACTCGTTTATTTGCATGTGTGTGGGGTTTTTTTTTTTTTTGTGGCATTGTCGAACAGTTCTCCGACAAAACACGCAGGCCCCCATCGAATGATCACTCACCGCTGTTCCCTGAGGACCAGGAGGACCGGGCATCCCGGCCTGACCGGGGCCACCCTGCATAAATGAGAGCAGAAGAAGAATAAATTAATGTTTTTGTTTTTTTGTTTTTTTCACCTCCGATTGAAGTTACTCATCATTATCACTGCTGGCACACACTTACCTTGATTCCAGGAATGCCAGGTGTGCCATCTTTTCCATCAATACCCGGCAGACCCTGAAAAAGCAGGCAGATGAGTCAGTGGACTTCATTTGGCACACCTTGCCAAGCACCTCCACAACTGTGGCCTGAAAAAACAAAAGTGCGTTCACTCACATTCTCTCCCTTTTTGCCAACTGCACCCTGTGGGCCCTGGATACCTCGGCTGCCCTGCAGAAGATAAAGAAATCAGCCTCAGTAGAGCCACGGTGCACATCAGTATCGCTGCCTCCATTCAAGCTCTGAAATAGCTTCTTTTTTTTTTTACACACACCACTGCCTTGACAAAAAAAAAAGGGAAACCACTACAAGAGTCACCCACTTTGTCTCCTTTATCGCCTGGCTCTCCAGGTGGTCCACGAGGTCCTTCTTCACCCTGAAAAGAAAAGAGCAGACTCACAGTTGCCTTAGTGCATTCAGTGTGTGAATATACCTCTTTATATGAGTAGCTGAATTTGTATTTGTGTGTCTTTAAGTGTGTGCGTTCTTACAGGTGGCCCAGGAGGTCCTACTGGTCCGCCGATGCCCTTGTACCCACCAGGGCCCTGAGGGAAAACAACAAAGTGCCATCAATCTGTTCGGATCAGAGGGGGAGCTAAGTCGCGGTAGCCTACCACTCATTGTGATAAAGGGATAATTAGAGCTTAACTCACTTCTTTAATGGGAGCTACACAGAGAGCCAGGCACTCTTGCTTTGGCACTAAGCCGGGGTGCTAACTTGGCTAACGTGGCTAATGTTAACAGTAAGACGGATGGCTACAGCGGATCATTAACTACAGATGGAGGCACCGTGGACCCAGACAACCCCAACTCATTAGAGAGGGAGAGAGATTTGTGTTAGCATCATTTCCATATGTCCCCATTGCTGGTAATGGATGATGTTTGTAGAGTGGGGGCAAGTCTGGCTGTGCCTCCTTGGTGCTCATCTAAGAATGAGAGCAGCCTTGTACTCAGAGAAAGAGAAAGAGGGAGAAAAACAAAAAGCCAATATGCTTTTTTTATGTGATAAACTGAGTGTAGCACTCACTGGTTCTCCTTTGGGACCCATCATTCCTGGATAACCACTCAGACCCATGGGACCCTTAGAAGAGAGGCAAACTATGGTAAGACAGACACCCTTGTCCACAAGAAATGGCTATTTGAGATGATACTATGTAGATTATAATATGAAAATTATAAATATTCAATTATCATCATACTGAAGGTCCTGGGATGCCCTGCTCCCCAGAGATGCCAACTTCTCCCTTGGGGCCCTGATGAAGAACAAAAAAAAGGATTATTAATAATAATAAGTATGTGCTTCGCCCTGTAGCATATGTGCCTGGAAGCAATTGTGAAACCTTGAAAAACATTTAATCAAGCCACAGATTTCATTTAGTTTTGTCTCTATATGTTTGACTTGCAAACATTTACCAAAAAATCTCATTGAAACCCGTTTCTGATGTTTGCGTGTTTGGTGTGTGAGTGGTTTTGAGGCCTATCGGTGAGCTGCAGCCTGCTCACACCATCCTCTGGTGGTCTTCAGCACCTGAAGCAGTTCAATCAGCGCATAATGGGTTTGCCAAGACTGTTAAAGGGGCGGAAACGAAGGCTCGATGGCACTCTTGTGCCGGGATAAGTCGGGATAAGCTTAGCATAAAGACTGAAATCTTGGGCAAACCGGGAATAATAGTCAAAGCGCCAATTGTTACTCCCCAAAAGCACGACTTGTTTTTGCATATCCATAAGGCCACGGATTAAACAAACATAATCAGGGAGATTTTCGCGTTACTGGGAGGATTTAGGAACTCTAGTGCCCAGCTAGATGCTCAGCTCAACAATAAGCTAAGCTGGCCTAATTGTTTCCCTGCTGAAGTTACACACTTTTCATCAATACTCAGTTTAGCCTGAGCAGTCTATTAGCCTGCCCTTTGAATGATGCGACCCCTGAACTGGACACTTCAAACCATTTGTTTATATGCCAATAAAGAAATATTATTTTTGCTGGGTTTCCAGAATCTTGCTCGCCATCCTCAGCAGGTTCATTAAGTTCTTGTTTTTTTTTTTCGCACTTTAAAGATAAATCTGATAGTCTTACTCCATCTTTGGCATCACGTGGGCATCAGTGATACAGCAAACCCTGTTGGTATCCATTTAAACAACCGGTGAGGATGTAAACGGCTTTCATTGTGTTTTAGAAGAAAAGCGAGCAACCTTTAACCAGACAGCTCCTTTAAAATACTGGTCGGCCTCGGAGGAGCGCTTGCTTGATGTGTTGAGTGTTTTGAGCATCTAAAGCAAGCGCTGCCAGAAAGCTCCTTGTGTGGGAAGATCAGAGGCTAATTCCTGGGGCTTGGCTAGCCGCTCCCTTGGAGCCCACAGTATGCTCATTAGCTCTGCTTAATACAGCGAGGTGAGAGGCCCGCGCTAACCCTGACTCTCTCATCCAACTCTTCATGTACCTGGCTCCTCACCACCCCTTTCATCTGGCTTGCTGCGTGCTGACTCCAGAGCCAGGGCCAGGCCTGACTAATCGCAGCCAGATTAATGCCAGTCATGTGCCTCAGGGGGCTTCATTAGAGCTAATCCTCTCCTCCCCTTGGTCCTGTACGGTGGGTGAGTGTGCAAAAGCAACTGTGCGGCATGTACACGTATGGGTGTCTGAGTGCACGCGCATATCCTCTCAAGCGGAGATTGTAGCAGCTCACCGGTCTTCCAATGCTGCCAGGATCTCCGAGAGCACCGGCACGTCCTTTGTGTCCCTAGAGGGGAAACAATTAGGCAGGATGGTGTCATAATAATGTGGTAATGCGAAACGATCACTGATGCCCGAAACAGACAGATTACTCACCTTGACTCCCTGCAGTCCCTGTGGGCCTTTAGGTCCCGCTGGGCAGTTGAGAGGACACTGGGAAAAGATAGTGAGAAGGGTATGCAGTGTATGGGTTATGAAATGTGAAGTTGTGTCAGAATAGATTTGCAAGAGAGGAGGAATCTTTAGATCTTACCTCGAAATCTGCACTACCCTCTTCTCCAACAATAAACTTGCCTGGAGGACCCTAAGCAGACAGACAGATACATGGATGAGCAAAGTCACCCAGTCACAGTTGGCAGTCAGTTGCGTCTACCACCCTCCCAAGCTGAGCCAGCACTCTCTCCCTCTTTCACTCCATCTATTTCTCCCTCTATTTTTTCCCCCTCTCTGTTTATAGATTGAGTTAGAAAGTTAAAGTATCTCTACAGGTGCTGATGTATTTCTGCAACAGCCAGATGAGACAGCCCACTGATCTAATGGGGGTTTATTTACCCTAGGACAGCACTAAAGCTAAACAAATACACTCCCCTGGGCTGGGAACATCACTCTCAATGAAGCACCCCCCTCCCCTTCTTGGAATCAGAGAGATGCACACGGGAGAGTTCATATGCCGCTGGAAAATGACTTGAAAGCATACCTCTTAAAACTGTTTTTAGTGCATCACCACTTAGTGTCTGTTGGGACTTGTTCAAGCAGCTCTGGCTGCGCTTGGTGTTTTGTTACCATTCGGCGCATTAAAAACACACACGCACACATTAACTGCGTGCTGGATAGAGCACGCATTTAGCATGGCATCAGCAGTATGTCCTTGCCTGTGATCCCATTCAGTCATTTCAGTCAGCAACAATTAGACTGATGAAAATGTACGCCTGATTAAGCCTAATGAACTCCCAGTAGCTTATTTATTAAGTTTTTACAACTGATCTCACCAGTCTCAGTGCCTTCATGTATTGTTTACTGTGACATCCTTTCTGTGGATTAACTTTGAGTACATTCAAGCAGCGCTTTGGTGCGTATGTGTAATGGAATTGGGATGAGGCAGTGGCGTTGTGAATGTTTGTCCTCTAGAGCGCTATGAACTGTTCTGCAAGTAAACAGTGTTGGGAAGGTTACTTTTAAAATGTATTCCATTACAGAATACAGAATACATGCCCCAAAATGTATTCTGTAACGTATTCCGTTAC